CCCCAAAACCCCAAAACCCCAAAACCCCAAAACCCCAGTATTAGTATTTCAGTTGAAAAATTATAGTATTATATTCTTGAATAACTAAATGGATTATAACTTTTATCAAGAAGATCAGAACTCAAAAGAAGTTCTTTCTGATGCGCTTTATTACAATTTATCTGATCATGAATACACCATTTTCGACCTAGACAAGATTCATCTCGTGCCTAACTATGATGAAAATGATGATTTTGTTCCTCCTAAAGCCTTTCCATTAGGGCTAGATCAGCAAGAAAATGTAGAGGTCGGATCTTTGCCAGATAAATTCCACCTGGCCAATGAAGTGTCCCTAAGTAAAGGTCTTTCATTCCTAGATAAAGATAAATATCTGAATAATAAAAATTTGCAAAATGACTCCATATCAGTTAATTCATCATCCCTGAATTATAAGGATGAGCCAGATAATTTGAGTATCAAAGTAAATGGTTCTGTCAGATCAGATAGTATGCCTTCTTCTAATAACGTTGAGGAAGAAAAAGGAGAGAATAGCTCTTCAGCATCAATGGATATGTCTGAATTGAACAACCAAGCGACAGCTCCTTCAGAGAGTGTAGAGAGTAAGTAAAACTGATAAAAAGAAAGATGCTAAGAGCACAAAAAGAAAAGGGAGGTTTTCTCCTCATATCAACAGAAAAGATAGCTTGATTAAAAGGGCTCTTAGAGGCTGTAACGAGGTCGTAAAACAGTACTTCTTACAGCAGCTAAAGCAACATGAAAGTGATGCGCCTGATTTGTCAGCTCCTAAAGACACCACTAGCGAAGAAGCTCAATTATTATGTACTTTTGAAGACTTTAAATACAACAGTTCTTTACTTTGGGAATGGATGAATGATCACCTCGAAACTCATTTTGCTGAACAACTACTAGAGGTCTATGACTGCCCCCTCACTGCTGAAAACAAAAGAATCATATTTTCAATTGTTTCTTACTTAATAAGAGGCAAGAGGTGGTTTAAAGATTTTATTTTTGAAGGCAACGAAAGTAGGGACAAATGGAAGATGATTCACATCGCTGAAGAGTACTTCAAATTTAATGATAGAGATAGAGGTTCTAGCAGAGCTAGAGATTTTGCTCTAAAATCTCCCTTCATATGCCTAGCTAAACTCCTATTCATGAAAGATAAGGCTCATTTCAAAGTTCTTTGGAAAAAGTTAATTCAAAGACAAGGCGCGAGCTTTCCAGATTTAGAAGAGTTCAAAAGCAATATTTGCGGAATTCTCAATCTAAACTACTAAATTTACGTTTAATTTTACCAAAAGAACTTCGCTCAGGGGTCTCATTCTATTTGGGTTTAAACAAACATTACTAAACGGGACAAATAAAACTATAACTGAAACCTAAGTCTGACATGCTTCTTGTTTATGTAAAACTGTTATACTCACATCCAAAGCCACTCCACTCTTCTCCACATACTTCTACTCCTCCCTTTCTTCCTGCCACCTCTTTCACCCATCCTACCTTCCTCAAGCCTTAAGCCTCCCAAACCTCTATCAGAGCCAAGAAAATTTTGAATCTCTCAAAGTAGCTTATTTCAAGATTTTCTTGAAAAATCTGAGTCCAGCCAAAATTTAGTAAACTTTTAACCAACTTGGCCGCCACTGGGTGCCTCCTTAGTACAAATTTATATAGAAGGTTATAATAATTTTTAGGTGAAATTTTGTATTCGAGTGAAGTGGGGTTTTGGAGAAGTGGCCAGAAATGAAGAAAATTGAAAAGTTTGAGGAAATGGAAACTGGGAAGGGTTTCAATTTCTGATGGGTTTTGGGGTTTTGGGGTTTTGGGGTTTTGGGG